CACAATCACTACAGACCGCGGACGCCAATTCGAATCTGGACTTTTCCGTTGTCTCACCCCACTATTAGGAATCACGCGCTTCCGAACGACCCCCTACCACCCACAAGCAAACGGGTTGGTAAAACGTTTTCATCGACAACTAAAAGCTTCATTATCAGCTTCAAACGTTTCACAGTGGACAGACGCTCTTTCACTCGTCTTGCTAGGTATCCACAATGCAGTGAAAGCTGACATTGGATACACGGCATCTCAACTCGTTTACGGAACGACACTCCGACTCCCAGGAGAATTCGTGGATCCTTCAGCTTCTTCATTGAACATGGATCTAAACTCTTACACGAGTAGGCTTACAAACGCTATGCGTTCAGTTAAACCTGGTCACACTCGACCTCAATCAACTGATGTTTTCGTTCAACCTGACTTACAACATAGTACACACGTCTTCATTCGTCGAGACTCACATCGACGACCATTCGAATCAGCATACGAAGGACTCTTCAAAGTTCTTCGACGCGAACCCAAGTACTATGTAGTAGATAAGAACGGTACGAACGATAGCATCAGCATCGATCAACTCAAAGCAGCGTACTTAGAAGGAAACCCTAGCAACGTCGATTTTCCTTCTGTACAAGCAAACGACACAGCTACTATACTCGTAGTACCCTACACGACAACCGACACACAACTTGATACTTCGTCAACGTCGATAGAAAAACCTAAAACAACGCGTTCTGGAAGACGAGTAAGATTTCCAGAACATCTTAACGAATATTGCACGTAGGACATAAGCTTTATCTTGAATTACCCTTTCAAAGTTTATTATAAATTTTTTTTAATATGCTCATTTTTTTATTTATGTAAAAAAAACAAAAAAAACATTTTTTTGAGCGTACATATATATATATTTATATATTGAAAAAAAACCCAAAAGAAAACCTTTTTTCCGATCGCTTTTACGCTGTTTGTAAGTGTATCAGTTTATTTTTTTCCGCTCATCTTGTGTCCTTACGCAAGTACGAGTGTATTTTTGACATGCACTCACACGTTTTATTTTTCCTCTTTTCCAGGACGGCTGGAAAAGAATGACGAAGTTTCGCAAGGAACAGAAATTTTCATTGTACTATATTTCTTTATTTGCTACGTTGTACATTTTGGTCCCATAGTTTAAGGAAAGACGACCAGACGCTGCTAAACGAAGCAAGCTATCAGAAGAGTGTTTACCAAACGACAAATTCGTTGGGTTTAAACTTCTGGCTGGTCACGTCTTAGGGGCATCACTACCTCACTAGGGGGGGAGTGATCTGTAGCTGTAAATAATTCCCCAAAATCTATAGCTCATTAAGTGTTCGACATTGGATGCTGACCACGTTGTTTAAGTGGACTTGTTTAGCTGAAGGCTTTCGGTCATGCATCCGCACCAGATCACGTTTCAATACTGCGTGGGAAACAGCTCCTACGTTTCATTAGCCAGCTCATAGAAAAGGTCCTCGATATATTGGTAACGAATCAAATATATCTTTCCTGCCTATTCTCGTCCGACTTCTGATTTCTATCTGACTGGGAACAACCGAATTTAGAAGGTGCTACTGGTATCTAGTTGTAAAACTAGAATATCCGTTGAATCATCAAGACTATTGAGATGAAAATATATTGTTAAATAGATTAAGTGAAATATGTTGCATAGATTTCGGAGTCAGTTTTCATTGAATAAAAGGCCTCTAGTTTCCGAATAAAGGTACACGTATGAAAGGATAAATACATTAACAACCCAACACTTTAATATATATCTTACTTTGAAAAAATTATGATACATATAGTAATGGTAAGATTGTGGATGATCGTGAGACAACCCCAAATACTCGTCCATATTAAAGGTTTTCACATAACGGAAACTAAGCTTCCCATCATGGTAAAATTCAATTAACCGTTTGTACATACCCAAAGGAGTTGAACCGGTTGGAAGACCAAGAACAAAGTATCTCGATTCAGATGGCTTAAAGTCAGTTATCTTTTTCATTACGTATTTAGCAGCCCATACTGCAACTTCTTCAGGATCTTCGAGAATCAGTAGACGCATAACAACTATTTAGCCTATGTATAACATATATAAAAATTGAAAAACACATGCATAAACGTAGAAAAGGGATAAAGACATTATATACTCTTTCTACCAACAATCATTCCAAAATATGAAACGTTTTGATATTCTACTGTGCAAAGTATGTACAACTAGAAAATATTTCGCAAAAAGGCTGATAACACCAATTTCCAGACTGAGGCTGGGATGAAATGCCAACCAAGAGTTTCAAAGGTCGTTAAAGTTGTATATTCAAGCCCATAATGTTATAATGAATTAATCGGTGTCATTATTACGAGCCTTACACGAACTTCTAATGCCTAATTGAATACAATAGTGTGTCGACATAACTGACAAAAGCATAGTTGTGGTTCTACTCCACCTGTCAAAGTATATCATTCTAACCGGATTCCATAATGCATGCAGGAGGGTAAGTATTTTCTGTGGATTGTAGAAACATAAGTCACCTGCAGACAGCTGATCTAAAATGGAATCGACACCAAAAACTGTTACAAACTTGAGATGTTTCCCTGATATATTTCCCGTATGTAATGAAAACAAGAGATACGAAGTAAAAGCAACGAAAGATATCAATTCCATTCACACTGTTACACACTCTTAGGCACCAAAAATATGTCTTTAGAATACAGCTAGATACAAAGACAAAATAGAGTATCCATGAAATTTATATATATATATATATATATATATATATATATATTCATCTGACGACAACTAGGAAAATACAAAAGCTATAAAACTATGACTACATACTTATTTAAAGGCTGTTTAAATAACAGGTAAAAATTATGTCAACTCCGCTTCAGGTTCACCTAGACTTACTGTCCGCACCAAGCACAGGTAAACGAGAAGGTTTGGGCATAGGTATCAGTAACCCCATCCCGTAGAAAACAACCTCACTGAAACACGCTAACCACAATAAACAATTCGAACCACTTAAACTCTGTTCTCCGAGTTGAAAGATCTTCATTCAGAAGAATTATGACGCCTCGTGGTGAAAGACGAGATTCTTCCGAAGTCACGAGGTCAATTCCCCTTCTGACAACCAGAGCAACAATTAATATGGGTACATGAAGTGCCCGGACAATGTGGGAGACCGGGAGGACCAATCAAATAGCTGAGAAAATGAGGTGATACAACTTGACAGTTCTCGGAATCAGTGAAACACATTTGACCTAAGCTCGACAGCAAAGGTTAGACTCTGGTGGGATGCTGTTGTACACGGGTTACAAAGACGAAATCGCTTCGTACACTCAGGGACTTGTTCTGATGCTGTCCAAAGAATCACGAAATACACTTATAGAACGGGAACCTTATGGATCAACATTCAACAAAGCATCATTCAAAACAACGAGGGAGGAGATCACAATGGATATTACCCAATGTTATGCATCCACCAATGACGATGACAAAAATAAGTTTTACAAGAGACTGAAATCGACCATTGGGAAATGCTCAGAAAAATACCTGATCATATTGATGAGAAACATGAATACCAAAGTCGGAATGGACAACACCGGGTATGAAGATATCACAGAACGACATTGACGACTGGGGGAAACGAACAAGAATGTCGACGTGCGGTTGCATACGTGAAGATGAGGATTGGCAAAGCAAGGGCAGCATTCCTACAATCGAAGATCACTTGGAATTAAAAACAACCGTCACCCGAGACCGAAGCCATAATCTTAAATACGGACGTCGAGAAATTTCTATTGTGCGTAGTTGAGGCTTAGAGAACTACTACAACCAAAATGAAAGGTGTACAGGTATTCATAAACAGCTATCTACGCAGCATACTCAATGTTTGTTGGCCGCATACTATCAGCAGCAGTCTACTGGGAGAGAGAACAAAGCAGCTTCCAACTGAATAGGGAATCAGGAGGAGACGCTGCAAGTAGATATGACATTGTGGGAATCAACAAACTGTATCACAAAGCAAGTCCTAACTTGACAACCTCAATGAGAAAGCAAAAGAGGCAGGCCAAATAACGCGTTACACCGGATGTTGGAGGCAGACATGAAAATGAATAGCAGCTGGAAAGGATTGCCCAGCACGGAGTTCGATTGAGAATACTGGTGGGTGACCTAGACTTCACAAGGGGTAACAGGCGTATGTAAAACAATGATGCACAATCACTAAGTAGTGGATTACACTCCAAAGATTTCGTTTGATATCTGTGAGTACTTGTCTGAAAAGGTGAGCGGTTTATGATCAGTAAACAGTGAATTCTCGGTATTCAATAGTGTTGCAAGTTCCGCACAGCACAATACATGGCTTTGAGTTCCCTATCGAAAGTGCTACAACTCCATTCAGTGTCTAGTAACCGTCTCGAGAATAATGTCAAATGTTGTCAGGGGCGGTTAACCCATTGTCGTAAGAACCATCCGATTGCTGAGTTGGATGCGTTTACTGCGATACTAATGGGCGCTTCAGTGTCCTGATGTGCTAGCATGGTTGCCTCTGCGATAAGTTCATTAACTGTGGAGAATGCTTTTCGCGCGGTATTGTCCAAATATATGAATTTTGCATTTCCACGAAGTTGGTCGGTTAGCGGTTTCATGACGGACGCGCATTTTGGTATGAACCGTCTATAGAAACTGTTAGATGCGCGCAATTGCTTAATAGTGGTCGGTTTTGGGTTATCCAGAGTGACCGCCATTTTGCTTCGAGGGGATCGGATGCCTTGAGCATCAATAGCGTGTTCTCGGAAATCTAAGGAGTTGGTTCCGATTTGGCATTTCCGAACGTTTACAGTAATGCCATGCTTTCGCAGTTCCACCATCTTACCTCAAAACATCTAGGGTACTTAAGTTAAAAACTATGAATCCACCTTCATTTCAACTGTCGTCTTAGTCAGAAAACATCTAGGCCTGGTTCTGCTACGCAAAGCAGACTAAAACGAGCATGAACGACACACATGCACAGTCCCTTGTTGTGGTAAAGGCTGTAGCTATAAATAAATCCCCAAAATCTTCAAGGCCTTACCGCGCGGTTTCAACAGGTACGTGACATATTGTATGTTTACTAGTGATGTTTCGGAAGCTTACGAAACTCTGAAACGCGGCAATCTAACCGATCAGCAAAAGTTAGACCAACTCCTTAATAACATCGACTTGCAGCATGGTTCTGCGACAGACATGTTGCTAAGGATGAGAGAAGTCATTGGCCAGAGAACTTTCGATAATGGCCTATTTAAACAACTTTTCTTACCTAAACTTCATCAACGGGTGCATGCTGTGCTTGTGTCGTCTCAAAACATCGCCGTAGATGATCTGGCTACATCTGCCGACCGCATTTTTAAGGTCACTAGATCTTCTAATTTATAGGTTTTTTCAGTTAAAGAAAAAAACCTCAAGCGACACAGAATGACAATACAAAATTATATCACACATTTACACGTTGTCTTAGATTTTTTAATGACCACAAAGAGTCACAATTCCTGCGAAGAAGCACTTCATGTAGGCTATCTCTCTAGACCGTTAGAGACGGATAACCCCAACTGATGCTGACATCATAACCAGTATGGGATGTCTTCCAGAAATTGCAGAAAACCCTGCAATTATCCGAACTCAAAATCGACTGACGAAAAATCGGGAGACTTCCCAGCTGGCACGCGGTAATGTCAACCGTAGTCGGCGAACACAGTCGTCTGTCATACGTCTCAGATGTGGTGACGAAAGTTCGCTACCTCGTCGACACTTCTGCAAAAGTTAGCGTTCTTCTAACGACCAGCTTCACGAATCTGTTTTAAGCTTACAGGCGGCAACCGGAAAGCCAACCGCCACATATGGTGAATGGTACGTTTACCTGAACGTGGGTTTACGCAAACTCTTTCACTGGATCTTCGTTCTTGCAAATACTTCAATGACAATCATTGGTATGGACCCGCTACAACACCAAAATTTACTCATTGATACACGCAAACGAAGGCTAGTAGACGAAAACACTAATTTATCTGTTTGCGTAACTTCTTCCTGTTGCAGAATATCTAGTCACAATTAGACACAATAGATCCATTCTATCAGCCATTACTCTATAAGCATCTTGGGACATACTAACCGCAACCGAAATTGCTGTGTGTAACCAGCAATGTTACACATCACATCACGACTACAGGACCACATGTATTCTCGAAAGAACACAGACTGGCTCCCGAAAAGCTGAGGTTGGCCGAAAACGAATTCCACCACATGATACAGTTAGAAATCATTCGACCGTCAAACATCCCATAGGCATTTCCCTTGCACATGGTCCCTAAAAAGACAGCAACGATTGGCGTCCAACTGGTGACTATCGGTTTTTGAATGCAAAAGCCATTCCCGATCGTTACCCGTTGCCTCACATTCACGATTTGACAGCTACCTTGAAAAGTACAACTGTCTTTTCGAAAATCGACTCGGTTGAAGCCTATAACCAAATCCCTATGCCTACTGACAATATTTCAAAAACCACTATTACCACTCCCCTCGGTCTTTAGGAATTTCCGCGAATGCCTTTTGGCCTAAGAAATGCTGCCCAGACTTTGCAAAGGTTCATAGATGATGTTTCTCGAGGTCTCAACTTCGTACATGAGTATGTGAATGACTGCTAAATATAAGTCTGGACGGAGAATCCCATCTCCAGCATCTGGACTGGAACTGTGAAAGCATGGCATTACTGTAAACGTTCGGAAATGCCAAATCGGAACCAACTCCTTAGATTTCCGAGAACACGCTATTGATGCTCAAGGCATCCGATCCCCTCGAAGCAAAATGGCGGTCACTCTGGATAACCCAAAACCGACCACTATTAAGCAATTGCGCGCATCTAACAGTTTCTATAGACGGTTCATACCAAAATGCGCGTCCGTCATGAAACCGCTAACCGACCAACTTCGTGGAAATGCAAAATTCATATATTTGGACAATACCGCGCGAAAAGCATTCTCCACAGTTAATGAACTTATCGCAGAGGCAACCATGCTAGCACATCAGGACACTGAAGCGCCCATTAGTATCGCAGTAAACGCATCCAACTCAGCAATCGGATGGTTCTTACGACAATGGGTTAACCGCCCCTGACAACATTTGACATTATTCTCGAGACGGTTACTAGACACTGAATGGAGTTGTAGCACTTTCGATAGGGAACTCAAAGCCATGTATTGTGCTGTGCGGAACTTGCAACACTATTGAATACCGAGAATTCACTGTTTACTGATCATAAACCGCTCACCTTTTCAGACAAATACTCACAGATATCAAACGAAATCTTTGGAGTGTAATCCACTACTTAGTGATTGTGCATCATTGTTTTACATACGCCTGTTACCCCTTGTGAAGTCTAGGTCACCCACCAGTATTCTCAATCGAACTCCGTGCTGGGCAATCCTTTCCAGCTGCTATTCATTTTCATGTCTGCCTCCAACATCCGGTGTAACGCGTTATTTGGCCTGCCTCTTTTGCTTTCTCATTGAGGTTGTCAAGTTAGGACTTGCTTTGTGATACAGTTTGTTGATTCCCACAATGTCATATCTACTTGCAGCGTCTCCTCCTGATTCCCTATTCAGTTGGAAGCTGCTTTGTTCTCTCTCCCAGTAGACTGCTGCTGATAGTATGCGGCCAACAAACATTGAGTATGCTGCGTAGATAGCTGTTTATAAATACCTGTACACCTTTCATTTTGGTTGTAGTAGTTCTCTAAGCCTCAACTACGCACAATAGAAATTTCTCGACGTCCGTATTTAAGATTATGGCTTCGGTCTCGGGTGACGGTTGTTTTTAATTCCAAGTGATCTTCGATTGTAGGAATGCTGCCCTTGCTTTGCCAATCCTCATCTTCACGTATGCAACCGCACGTCGACATTCTTGTTCGTTTCCCCCAGTCGTCAATGTCGTTCTGTGATATCTTCATACCCGGTGTTGTCCATTCCGACTTTGGTATTCATGTTTCTCATCAATATGATCAGGTATTTTTCTGAGCATTTCCCAATGGTCGATTTCAGTCTCTTGTAAAACTTATTTTTGTCATCGTCATTGGTGGATGCATAACATTGGGTAATATCCATTGTGATCTCCTCCCTCGTTGTTTTGAATGATGCTTTGTTGAATGTTGATCCATAAGGTTCCCGTTCTATAAGTGTATTTCGTGATTCTTTGGACAGCATCAGAACAAGTCCCTGAGTGTACGAAGCGATTTCGTCTTTGTAACCCGTGTACAACAGCATCCCACCAGAGTCTAACCTTTGCTGTCGAGCTTAGGTCAAATGTGTTTCACTGATTCCGAGAACTGTCAAGTTGTATCACCTCATTTTCTCAGCTATTTGATTGGTCCTCCCGGTCTCCCACATTGTCCGGGCACTTCATGTACCCATATTAATTGTTGCTCTGGTTGTCAGAAGGGGAATTGACCTCGTGACTTCGGAAGAATCTCGTCTTTCACCACGAGGCGTCATAATTCTTCTGAATGAAGATCTTTCAACTCGGAGAACAGAGTTTAAGTGGTTCGAATTGTTTATTGTGGTTAGCGTGTTTCAGTGAGGTTGTTTTCTACGGGATGGGGTTACTGATACCTATGCCCAAACCTTCTCGTTTACCTGTGCTTGGTGCGGACAGTAAGTCTAGGTGAACCTGAAGCGGAGTTGACATAATTTTTACCTGTTATTTAAACAGCCTTTAAATAAGTATGTAGTCATAGTTTTATAGCTTTTGTATTTTCCTAGTTGTCGTCAGATGAATATATATATATATATATATATATATATATATATATATATATATATATATATATATATATATATATAAATTTCATGGATACTCTATTTTGTCTTTGTATCTAGCTGTATTCTAAAGACATATTTTTGGTGCCTAAGAGTGTGTAACAGTGTGAATGGAATTGATATCTTTCGTTGCTTTTACTTCGTATCTCTTGTTTTCATTACATACGGGAAATATATCAGGGAAACATCTCAAGTTTGTAACAGTTTTTGGTGTCGATTCCATTTTAGATCAGCTGTCTGCAGGTGACTTATGTTTCTACAATCCACAGAAAATACTTACCCTCCTGCATGCATTATGGAATCCGGTTAGAATGATATACTTTGACAGGTGGAGTAGAACCACAACTATGCTTTTGTCAGTTATGTCGACACACTATTGTATTCAATTAGGCATTAGAAGTTCGTGTAAGGCTCGTAATAATGACACCGATTAATTCATTATAACATTATGGGCTTGAATATACAACTTTAACGACCTTTGAAACTCTTGGTTGGCATTTCATCCCAGCCTCAGTCTGGAAATTGGTGTTATCAGCCTTTTTGCGAAATATTTTCTAGTTGTACATACTTTGCACAGTAGAATATCAAAACGTTTCATATTTTGGAATGATTGTTGGTAGAAAGAGTATATAATGTCTTTATCCCTTTTCTACGTTTATGCATGTGTTTTTCAATTTTTATATATGTTATACATAGGCTAAATAGTTGTTATGCGTCTACTGATTCTCGAAGATCCTGAAGAAGTTGCAGTATGGGCTGCTAAATACGTAATGAAAAAGATAACTGACTTTAAGCCATCTGAATCGAGATACTTTGTTCTTGGTCTTCCAACCGGTTCAACTCCTTTGGGTATGTACAAACGGTTAATTGAATTTTACCATGATGGGAAGCTTAGTTTCCGTTATGTGAAAACCTTTAATATGGACGAGTATTTGGGGTTGTCTCACGATCATCCACAATCTTACCATTACTATATGTATCATAATTTTTTCAAAGTAAGATATATATTAAAGTGTTGGGTTGTTAATGTATTTATCCTTTCATACGTGTACCTTTATTCGGAAACTAGAGGCCTTTTATTCAATGAAAACTGACTCCGAAATCTATGCAACATATTTCACTTGGAGATGTATTCTGAGGATTATGACCTCCCTATGAGTATTATATAACAGTAGTTACACTAAAGCTACATCAGTTTGATGTTTTCAAGAGTAATAAATATACCCTTCCTAGCTTCTTTTCCAAAAAATATGTGTTGTCGTTGTTGGACTAGCTTCTGCAGATGGAAGTAGTTATTAGTTAATTTGTCATCCATGGACACTCCTTACTCATATCAGCACTAATCAATGAGTAGTACATGCTTCCCATTTACAATTAAGAATCCATGATTAGATAACACGAGGCAATTGAGGTATGCTATAGTAATGTTTTTTAATCCGTTAAACGGACCACATACAGTCTTCGTACCTTGTCTGTCGTAACCGGCAGTGCTATTTATCGCACCGAACAGCTCTCTGTGTTAGGGGAAGTTGGACCCATGTGAATACACCATAGAACTGTAGTTATAGGCACTGAGACGATGAATAATCATCTGCGTCAGTTTGTAAAATGTTCAGTAATTCACATTGCTGACCTCTGGTATCAAACCTTTTACTTTGTTTCCAGTGGAGAGTACGCAACAGTTAAGTAACTGAACACTTAGGTTCAGTTTATAAGTGTTTATTATTAAAGTACCTTATAAATTCACGGGGATTCTAGAAGTGTTTACGGATACAAACGAACGCGGTACGTATTGTTTTTGAAAGGTTAAAATGCTCGAAATTTAATAGTTGTATTCATGAGTCAATTAAAGCTAGACCACCATGAAAAACTTGGAAGTACTGAACGGCCGTTTCGTCCTAGTATAAGGCTCCTCAGCAGTTTACTATAGATGTTGCTCCAGTGATTTTTTTTTCAGGGCCTCAATTTTGTGGCTTCTGCACTTTTCTTAATATGTATATGTAGCTTTTTTCTGTAATAATTATCAGTAATGATGTTTAAATTTTATCAGCATATAGATATAGATCCGAAAAATGTGCATATACTCAATGGAATAACTGACGATCCAGAAGCTGAATGTGAAATGTTTGAAATGGAGATTAAGAAAGCTGGAGGTATTCACTTATTTGTTGGTGGAATAGGCCCGGATGGCCACATCGCTTTTAACGAGCCAGGTTCTAGCTTAGCATCTCGTACGCGAGTCAAAACGCTGGCGAAGGAGACTGTTGTAGCTAATGCCAGATTTTTTGGAGATAATCTGTCTCAGGTAGTGAAATTTTCAACGTTTGTGCACATCTTTCCATTTTGTGTTAAAATCTAATAGTAAACAAAAACTTACTTACGCCTGTTCCTCCCAATGGAGCATAAGCCGCCGACCAGCTTTCCCCAACCCACTCTGTCCTTGGCCTTCTTTTCTAGTTCTATCCATTTTTTGTTCATTCTTCTCATGTCTGTCTCTATTTCTCGGCGTAATGTCTTCTTTGGTCTTCCTCTTCTCCTATGGCCTTCAGGATTCTATGTGAGGATTTATCTTGTGACGCAATTCGGTGATTTCCTCAAGGTGTGCCCAATCCACTTCCAGCGCATCTTCCTGGTTTCTTCCTCTGCTGCAATCTGGTTTGTTGTCTCCCACAGTAACTTGTTGCTGATAGTGTCTGGCCATCGGATCCTAAGTATCTTGCGTAGACAGCTGTTAATAAACACTTGTATCTTCTGGATAATGGCTTTCGTAGTTCTCCACTTCTCCGCCCCGCACAGTAAAACCGTCTTGACATTTGTATTGGAAATTCTGATCTTGGTGTTAGTTGACAATTGTTTTGAGTCCCAGATGTTCTTCAGTTGTAAATATGCTGCTCTTACTTTGCCGATCCTCACCTTCACATCTGCATCAGATCCACCGTGTTCATCGTTGAAGCTGTCCAGATATGTAAAGGTTTCCACATCTTCCAAAGCTTCTCCGTCAAATGTGATTCGATTGGTGAATGCTGTATTGTATCGGAGAGTCTTGCTTTTCCCTTTGTGTATATTGAGACCCACTGCTGCTGAGGCTGCTGCTACACTGGTCGCCTTCTGCATTTGTTGTTGCTTGTGTGATAGAAGAGCCAGGTCATCTGCGAAGTCTATATCGTCCAGCTGCATTCTAGCTGTCCATCGTATCCCGTGCTTCCCTCCAGATGTTGACGTCTTCATGATCCAGTCGATCACCAGGAGAAAGAGAAAGGGTGAGAGTAAGCAACCTTGCCTTACACCAGTCTTTACTTCAAACGAGTCAGTGAGTTGTCCTCCATGCACTATTTTGCGGTTTAATCCATCATAAGAATTCTGTATGATTTTGACTAACTTCTCAGACACACCGTAGTGTCGAAGAAGCCTTCATAGTGTTGTCCAGTCCACACGATCAGATGCTTTCTCGTAATCTATGAAGTTGATTTAGTGTGACGAATTCCATTCAATTAATTGTTCCACAATGATCCGTAGAGCTGCGATTCGGTTTGTACACGATCGATCTTTACGAAATCCAGCCTGTTAATCTCGAAGTTGGGCGTCTACGGAGTCCTTCATTCTGTTTCACAATACCCTGTTGAAGACTTTTTCTTGATTTGTGATACAGTTTGTTGATTCCCACAATGTCATATCCACTTGCAGCGTCTTCTCCTGATTCCCTATTCAGTTGGAAGCTGCTTTGTTCTCTCTCCCAGTAGACTGCTGCTGATAGTATGCGGCCAACAAACATTGAGTATGCTGCGTAGATAGCTGTTTATGAATACCTGTACACCTTTCATTTTGGTTGTAGTAGTTCTCTAAGCCTCAACTACGCACAATAGAAATTTCTCGACGTCCGTATTTAAGATTATGGCTTCGGTCTCGGGTGACGGTTGTTTTTAATTCCAAGTGATCTTCGATTGTAGGAATGCTGCCCTTGCTTTGCCAATCCTCATCTTCACGTATGCAACCGCACGTCGACATTCTTGTTCGTTTCCCCCAGTCGTCAATGTCGTTCTGTGATATCTTCATACCCGGTGTTGTCCATTCCGACTTTGGTATTCATGTTTCTCATCAATATGATCAGGTATTTTTCTGAGCATTTCCCAATGGTCGATTTCAGTCTCTTGTAAAACTTATTTTTGTCATCGTCATTGGTGGATGCATAACATTGTGTAATATCCATTGTGATCTCCCTCTGCATCAGACCCTTCTTGTTCATCGACGATGCTGTCCAGGTGCGTGAAAGTCCAAGCTGTCCATTGTATTTTATGCTTCTCCTGCATATAATAAGGGCGCGTATGTCGATGCTGTATGCTTGACGTATGACCCAATGCTACATAGCCGCCAACGCTAAGAAAGAACACACGACCAATGGTCACCAATCGAAGAGGGTTATTATAACTTAGAAATTCATTTATATACATATTAGACCAGACCACTGAGCAAACAAACCGAGTAACATTAATGACACGGAATTTTATATATATATATATATATATATATATATATATATATATATATATATAACCCCAGAAAACAACTTCCGAATTGTTCACAACACCAACCATCTTCGTCTCATTCTCTCAATCCACGTAGTCACATGATATATTCATGTCCATTTCGACCTTGACGTTTGGGTCTACCATCAGGATGGTTAGATCCGATGCTTCGCACTTCTCAACAATCGACGAGCTCCCCGAAAACTTACTTTTATGGTGTGGATTCTATTTTATGTAACTGAACAACGTTTCCATCATATCATTTGGTAAGCAGAGATTATGAATTAAATGTGTCTTGACTAAAAGATAACTGTCTTCAGTAAACTGCTATGTCAAGTAACCATTAATCTGATTTCCCGAACATGAATTTCAAAACGAAATTATAGGTCTCATTAGAACTGTAACTGACATTCGTAGAGGAACAAGAAAGGTACTTACTGACCCCTAGGGATTTAGCAGCATCAATGTGATTTCTTCTGTGGATTCAGTGAAGAAGCGCCCGTAGGAGTATCGAGATTTCCATGATAGTCTCTTTTCTATTTAAAACACGCGGACAAACGGTGATGTTATGGCTTTTTAAGTAAGGAGATATCGTGTTTGTTTCCAGGATGCTATTACATTGTTGAATCGCCTAGTTAAGCACCTAAATGATTTTTGACGTCGGAGTATGATCTACGGAAAGCTGTACAAAACCGACTTTTACTTTTCATGGGTATTTTTGAGATTGCTTCTGGAATATTTTATAGCTGTACGTTTACCAGGTTCTATTAAACTAGGTTAAAATGATATATAAAAGTGCCTAATATCTTTTTTAGAGACCGATATAGTAGACAATAAGTATAAGCCTGATAATAAGACTTTATTGTTATAGATTCATAAATGACCAACAAAACATATCTAACAATCATATTGATTTTATTCACCGATAATGTATTTATCATGAGAACAAAGGTCTTCCGCTCAACCCTCAGCAAAACAATGCATGCTCACTGCCAAATAATCCAAGAATTTCACCACCTACTAATTTCTCAGATTTTTTCGAACATCATTCAGTTTTGTCATAAACATGCTGTTTGACATAACACTTTCATCGTCTGACTTTTCAGGGATTGATCTTTTACCAGGAGATTGTCTTGTTGACTTGGAATACTTAGATGATATAGTTCTGTTTTGTGAACATGGTGACAAAGTTCAGTCTTCTGGTCATCGTAAGCAACAATGCAGGTATTTTCAGGGTGCGGTTATCTCCCTCCAGATGTAAAAAGCTACTTCAGGTTTGGCTTGTGTTACCCCCGGAATTAGTGATAGCGAGTAAAGTAGTTGAACATATCGACTGCTTCACTGATCTTGGGAGTTTCATCAGTACAGATGTCTGGGTGTCTGACAAAATCTCGTCAGTCATTTCGCTTCGTTCTACTTAATGGATGTGAAGCATGGCCTTTAAGAGTTGTGGATATTCGTAGGTTGATGAGGTAGTAAATCTTCACTAACTGAGGTAGTTGAGACATGTGCTATGTACACCCAACCATCGCCTACCTCGATAGGTGGTTTTCTGTTGTGAGAGTAGGCTGAAAAAATCTAGTGGTGGCCGAACCAAAGCATGTCATCAGTCCATGAAATCCTGAACGATTGAACTTAGACCTTACAATCGTTGTAGACCACCTGTTTGAGGTCCACGTGATTATCGTAACCGATGGTTAAAAACTTTGGATAACATGGCTCAAAATTGTTCGCAATGGCGCAGGTGTATTTATTTTTTGTCTTCCTCAAATTCTGAATTCCTTATAACTTTCCTTTGCTTTTATTTCGATGATTTATATTTTTCCGATTCCAAATCTTTCATATTACGACTGATACTGTTACTACCTCTAATATTCTAGGATTCGGCCAGACAACTTCATCTCTGTATGCTAATGAGGTATGGCAACTTGAATCAGTGTACAAACGTATAGGTTGTACTTTGTGACTGATTTCATCTCGTACATGATACTAGTTTTGTTTAGAAAACGCAATATTGAAAAGTTTGATGTGTAATGTGTTGAGGAAATATGTGTATTAGCAGACAAACCGCGATAGTAAATTTATAAAACGTGGATCTGGCTCTTAATATCCAAATATACATGTATATATTTTTGTATATTCCTGTCAGATTTCGAGTATCATAAATGTTATATTTATTATCCTTGCCATGTCACAAGACATCTCTATATCTATTCTTCAAATGGGGTTCCTCTTAAGGCAGCTACTACAGGTCTGGGAACAGATATCGTCGCCGCACTAGTCACAATTCCCGAACTCCTATATGCTCGTATCACAGAAATCAGGTAATTCAGCCAACGATTACTTATAACCATATAAATTTAAAACTAGTTAGTCGTCTATTTTATGGACAGAAAAAGTTGAACGATCCACAACAGGACATTAATGTACAAGACCAAAAGTAACTCTACAAGAAACGTCCAACAAGTTTCACACAACTGTCTACAGTAGGCATCAGCTACTACTGACCTTCACATATACTGCTTCATTTCTTTGGTCGCTGAAGTATCTGTACACATGAATGGTACTGTTTTTTATGATTCTATAAATCCTCAGTGGACGTCAGATATCACCAATTTGTGGTTGCGTATTTATTTCCAATAAATTATCTTGTACAGGACTAATGTGTATTCGGATAAAAATTATCCAAAGTAATGCAAAATAAAATGTGGACGCAATAAGGTACGTTCACATGCATAGTAGATAACTGACTGTTATAAGCCGCTTTTTAAACTGTAAGCTAATTTACCATCAACTCTCATTAATTGAAGCCGATTGGTATTCTTATTTACAATATCAGGTTCCTGAGCGTTGTTTGACAGTGGGAGTTGGAACGGTAATGGATGCTAATGAGGTTATGATTTTAGTCACTGGAACTTCTAAAGCATTAGCATTACAGAAAGCAATCGAAGAGGGAGTAAATCATATGTGGACAGTATCTGCTTTCCAGGTAAGCTATTTCTATTTTAATGGACTAATTACTTCTTAAGCATCATAAGAAATCTATATTCGTTGTTGATGAAGATGCGACAATGGAACTTCGCACAAAAACTGTTCGTTATTTTAAAGACCTAGACAGTATTCATCGCAAGCTAAATGAAATATCATTTTAGTCATGCTTTGCTTACAGATGTCCTGGTGATTTTAAATAAAACATTGCAGCAATTTATATTCTTCTAACTCTGGGATTACAACTGGTGATACCTGACAATCAAAAAGGCAGTAAATATAAGAAACTAAACTAACCGATGTATAGGGACCTTCTGATTGGCCTTTAAAAATAAGACAAATCTTAAGTCTAAAAGCTGTTTGAGTTCTCTTAGTAGTTTGCTTCAAAAGACAGTGGTATCGAAGCATAATCCTACTTATGGTTAATCATATTTAATTCCAAGTTATTATTAGATACTTGCTTGCTTACTTACGCCTGTTACTCCCAATGGAGCATAGGCCGCCGCTGCTTTGCCGCTCTTGATTTGTCTAATGGCCATGCTGATCTCTTCAATTGTTGGTGGGCCAACATCGATTGGGAAGTCCGTGGGTGCTGCTTCGATGTTGGGTGGGTTCAGTGGAGCTGGTCGATTCAAGAGTTCTTTGAAGTGTTCTACCCACCTGTTTCGTTGTTCTTCAATGTCGGTGATTACTTTACCTTCCTTGCTTTTCACTGGTCTTTCTGGCTTACGGTAATTTCCAGCAAGTTTCTTTGTTGTATCATGCAGTTGTCTCATGTTTCCCTCACTTGCAGCCTTTTCCGCTGTCATCGCTAAATCTTCCACATATTTACGTTTGTCGGTTCTGATGCTCCTCTTCACTTGCTTGTTGGCCTCTGTGTATTCGGCTGGTGTCTTGGCTTTTTCCGCTCTGGTTCGGCTGATATTGATTGCTGCCTTCTTGTTCCTCCTTTCTTCAATTTTATCCAGTGTACCAACAGTGATCCATTCCTTGTGGTGGTGCTTCGTTTGGCCCAGAACCTCTTGACATGTTGAAACGATTGCCTCCTTGATACCTTTCCAGTTGCTCTCCATGGTAGTCCCCTCTCCATTGAGTAGATCATGAAAGGCCTGGAATCTGTTGCTGAGGGTTATGTTGAATTTGTTGAGTTTGTCAGCATCTCGAAGAAAGGCCGTATTAAACTTTTGTGATGTTGTTTGCTCCGTTGTCCAGTGCTTCTTGAGTTTTAGTTTCATCTTGGCGACTAGCAAATGATGATCTGATGCTATATCAGCTCCTCTTCTGGTTCTCACATCCTCCATCGTCCTCCTGAACTTTTTGTTGATGCAGATATGGTCGATTTGATTCTATGTAGTGTGATCCGGTGAAATCCAAGTGTCTTTGTGTATGTTTTTGTGTGAGACACATAGGTTTGCAAATCTCTCACCATTTTCGTTCCTTTCTCCCAGTCCATGTTGTCCCATGACGTCTTCGTATCCAGTGTTGTCCGTTCCAACCTTGGCATTGAAATCTCCCATCAGAATGGTCAGGTCCTTGGTTGGGCACTTCTCGAAGATCGACTGCAACCTGTCGTAGAATTGGTCTTTAGTGTCTTCATCGTAGTCGTTGGTAGGCGCATAGCATTGGATGACGTTCATTGTAATACCCTCTCTCTTTGTATTGAAGGAGGCTTTGATGATCCTTGGTCCATGAGATTCCCATCCAATAAGTGCATTTTGTGCTTTTCTGGACAGCATCAATGCAACTCCTAGTGTATGTGGGGCGTTTTCTTCTTCATGACCGGAGTATAACAGAAATTCCCCTGAAAATAGTCGTTGTTGTCCAACCTGCGTCCAATGTGTTTCACTGATTCCAAGCACCTCCATGTTGTATTTTCTCATTTCTGCAGCAATTTAGAAGACTCTTCCGGTCTCCAACATTGTCCGGACATTCCATGTACCTATAAAAATTGTCGCCCTGGTTGTTAGAAGGTGCATCGGCCTCATGACTTCCGAAGGAACTCGGCTTTCAACTTGAGATGTCATAATTATTCCTTCTACTCCTAGGGCAGAGTTTGAATGGTTTAAATGATTTTTTCTGGTTAGCGTTTTTTTAGCGAGTTGATTTTCTACGGGATGGGGTCGCTAACTCCATGCCCAACCCTCCTCCTTTACCCGGTCTTGGGACCGGCAGTAGCCCCCAGAGGAGCTACAGGCGGAGTTTTATTATCAGATGAGTAACAAGTATTCTCCTATCACATAAACTGTGTGAATGATGTCTCATTCAAACCATTGTAAGGGTACCGACTAGTCTTTGAAGCTATCCTAAGAAAAATATTCAACGGGAAAGATGTTCATTGTTGTGGATGTATGGGAGCATCTATATAAAAAACCTAGTACGCTCTGGTTGCCGGTATTGTCGCATCTTGTAATTTATATACACGTGTAGATATTCCGCATCCATACTTAGCGTGGGAAGAATATATCACGATATTTCTCGAAAAGTTGTATAATCTTACAATGCCAATGGTCATGAACCGGCATGTGTCTGATACTCAGGAATTATTAGGATACTTCGGAAAGTGGGGATGTTCGTGAGAAGTGGATACTCGTAAAAAAATGCCGCTCGTCTTAGAGTTAGAGAAATACACGTAGTCTTATTTGTGATGTCTAAACAAGAAACTGTTGTGACTTGTGGAAGTGGTTCATTTAGCTTCAGACAAGTTTCCTGATAAAAATGATCATTGTCATTTCCTGGCTTTGGTTTCAATATGTCCTTGTAGTAATGTGGACACACTAAATTCAATAGCCTTTTAAATAAAGTCAGAACAAATATTAATGCAGAAAAATATAAATTCATTTGAAGTCTTGATATGTACATGATGTAAGATAAGTACTTGCTAATTTAGGTTTCGGTAACATACTCCGGTTTCGTCCATCTTATTGTTTTCCGTCACATGAAGAATGGAATTAAAGGTAGAAGACATTATTACTAAAAATAAGTTACGGATCTTGCATCACTATTATTATGTGGTAAAATCCTCAGTTATTAAGGTCTATCTGGTCATCTGTCGCTCATGACCAGAAATAGAAAGATTCAAAGCGAATAGATCAACATTTCAAAATCTTGGATGCGTAGTCATATTATACCTTCATATCGCCCATTTCTAATCTTTTAGTGGTCTAACTTGTATCGGCTGGATTGGGGTATTCAACGTTTAATCTAATTCTGACTAAATTTATACGGTAATAATACATTGGACACATCACCGTTAGTTGAACTCTAGTCGTATTAATGTAACTCATCAGGATAAAGGTTGTTCAATCTAAGTTCACGTTCTTAGTATCCACTCAATAATTACCATTATCCTTCATGTTATTGTTGAAAAGAGACCAATAATCATAAGCTCAACAGTCTGAACTGCGTTTGTTTTCTACATCCAGAATATAATGATAGCAAAATTTTACTAGCATAAACGGAAAAATATATTTTTGAAGCCAAAGAGCTTACCTGTAGCTCCGTTCCAGTTTGACAGTAATTAAAGCTCTTTTTCCGAAAAAATAGGATAATCATTGTCAGGCAAATTAAGTACTGATTCTATTTAGCATGGGATACGTTTTTGATGTTATAAACAGCTCTAACTAAATTGTGGACTGTTTTTTAATCTTGGGAATAGAAATTACGATTTTCAAGTTTTTCTTTACTTAGCTTTTCATCATGACCCGATATCAATACACAGACTTACGTTTGACTATAAAATCAATATCAAAAGATGGTTGTGTAGATGAAGATAACAAAAATGGGATACAGATTATTTGAGTCCTAAAACCGATATAATGAAAATGAAGGTGCAAAACAAGTAAACAAATTTTGCGCTTAGAAAGAACTTAGTTATTCATAATCAAGCCAAACGCGTTCGACTACTTCACTCCGTATCCTTAATTCGGGTGTTGACGCAGGCCAGTCCTGGAGTAACAATTTACATTTGGATGGGGAGAAACGCATCCCAAACATCCTGGCATTGTTACTCAGTTCTAACAGAAGACTCTGCATTTTGTCAGCGTCTTCACCAAATAGGACTATGTCATCTGCGTATTCTAAGTCGATTAGTGGACCCCCTGGTAGGAGATCAATTCCTGAAAATTCAGTCAAAGAGTGTGTTATTTCCAGCAATAGGTCTATAATAAAGTTAAACAAAAATGGTGATAGTGGACAGCCTTGTCGGACACCACTTGAGGTTGTAAGATCATATGACAGTTCGCCATAAGCTCTCACTCGACTTGTAGTGTTCGAGTAAAGAGCCTTCACAAGGTTTATGTACTTCTCAGGTACACCTTTCAATGACAGACACTGCCACAGAACCTCTCGGTCTACAGAGTTAAATGCTGCTTTTAAGTCAAGAAAAACTATCATTGTCTGACGCCAATAAGCGCGTCTGTGTTCTAAAACCTGACGAATAGTGAATAAGTGGTCGATACAGCTACGACCATGTCTGAAGCCAGCCTGATTTTCTCGTGTTTGTAGTTCACTAGTCTTTCTTGGGCGCCCGATAATTAATGATGCTAGTAGTTTAGATGTTATATTAGTGAAACTAATCCCTTTATGGCTATTACAGGATGATTTGGATCCTTTCTTATATATTGGGACAATCAGTGATTGTGATCAGTCAGATGGGATTACGTTCAAGTCCCATGTTTTAGCTAAAATATTAGTCAACCCAATCGCTAAAATTGGACCACCATATTTAAAGACATCTGAAGCCAATCTATCTGGACTAGCTGCTCTTCCTCGTTTCAGATTAGCTATAGATTTTTGAACTTCAACTAGAGTTGTGGGACCTACTTCAATGTTCCATTCAGACTGTTTGGGAATGGTGGGTAACTGTAGGGTAGCTGAAGGCCAGCTAAAGTGTTCTGCCTATCGTTCTAAACGTCTGGGCTGAGAGAAGATAAGAGTCTCATCTTTTTCCGAGATTGTCTCACTTACACTCGACTTCTTAATTCCGGTTTCTTTTATTAGTCTGAAGAGTTGCCTGATGTTGCCTACAGCCGCTGCCTTTTCCATCTCTTTTGCTTTCGTTGCCCACAACTGCTCACGATCTTTCCGTAGACTTTTGTTTAACCTAGATCTGATTTGCTTTCGCTTTTTATCGTGTTCAGAGCCTGATGGGATGAGTTTATGAAAATCCATCAGTGCAACAGACTTAGAAACCCACTGGTTTTTTTAAACCCTTTGGTTCA